TTCTAAGCTGTCCTGAAGACAGTGTGCTCCTAGATATTACAAAGTAATTTAATTGTAAATAACTGTTAAACCACTGAGTTAATTCACTAACATACAAAATTCTGTAGATGGTTTCTGTTTCAGACACTGTTGTAAATCACAATGAGCCAAAGTCGGTTTTAAGCATGTGCTACTTGCTGCTTCTGTTATCTTTAAATTCCATTAAGTTGTATGCTGAAAGAACAGATAAGTCAAAAGATAAGAATGACCAGTCTTGCAGTATGACTGTTAAATATTTAGATTGGATTCCATGGTGTACTTGAGGAGCATATGTGCAAGCTCTTCAGGACAGCGGTAGGCCTTGTGGCTTAAAAAATAAGCAGATTGTAGTCTCTTTAGACTGGGATTTGAAACAGCAGTTTGGTGGTTAGTTGTATTGGTAATATTCCCCATAAATAGAAAGGCAACATGTTTAATGGATCCATAAAGAAATGTCACCAGATAAATAAGCAGATATAATGAACTTTCCAAATGATATTGACGGACAATATGAATAGCTTTCTAGCCAAATGAGAGTGCTGATAGCACTCCATGCTCTCATGTGAATGTTGGAGGGGGTGATAGGATAGGGCAAAACTCTGCTGATGAAAACCTGAGGAATTCCTGAAACAAAGAGTAATTATCCAAAAGAGAAAGCAGAACTACTTTCTTGCTGCTGTCCCTGACTTTGCCAGGGTCTGCAGGCAGGTCATCTACGTAGCTTGTGCTGCATGGTATAGATGCTATGTAGCATACAGTATTAAGATAAGTATCATTTTACCTTGAGAGACTCACCAATAACAGAGATTTAAAATGTCAGTATTTAAGAATATAAGGAGAATTTATGAAGAATATAAAGGAGCACATAATTGTTCCAAATTAAGTTCCTCTGGGTTAAGTCATCTGAAATGATTGTCAGTATAATGCTACTGTTACAGTAAATTAATGAAGCAATCTGGAGTATATACAGTTATGCTTGTCTAAAGAAAGGTAGCATAGGTTTCGCCCAACAGACATACACAGATGGTAAGTACAGTTATGTCAGGATAACCTTATTCCCAGGTGACCATTAGACTAGTAAAAGACCGTACTTGAAAAATCTGTACATCTGAATTCTAGTTATTCTGTTATTGATTCCTTATGTATCTGATAGTAAGAGAACCTCTCTTAGCCTCAGTTTCTGCAGCTGCAAAGTCGTTTGTTTACATTTTTTGTCATATGTGATTAATTCATTTCTGTAAAGTATTTTGCATGTCACAAATAGATGCCACTACCTATAGGCGATAGTGACTACTTTGGCAGTACTGCAGAGTGGTATTGCTGCAGAAAAAGGCTTTTTTGTTTGTTTTTTTTTGTTTGTTTGTTTTCCCCTACTGTCTTGGTGTTGTGAACATGAACTGCCGTATGGCTTTTTATAGAAGGAGACTGCACTTTAGCCTCATCTTCTTCCCTGTCCCCTTCCAATACACACAGGCTCCTTGCAGTTGATTAATAGTGTAAAGGTTAAGCAGGGCTACAGTTCTGCCCGTTTCTTGCTTTTTTGCAGACAGTCTGCATTCACAAAGCTACCTCTGAATGTAGAGGGCTGCTGCTCTACAGCTTCATTTACTGGGATCTGAACAGAAGGTCAGCAGTGATCTAGCTATTCTTTTTACATACAGAAATTATTTTTTAAAGATTATTCAATTTTCTTTCTCTATAAAAATAGAGGGTTGGATTTGATAACATGAAAAAAAATTGGGGAATCTATGAGGATCTGGTGTTCAGACATGTAACTAAAATACACTGCTTACATTATTTAAAAAGCTGTCACACTTAACCTGGCCCACTCTGCCTGCCTTCTAACCTGACACATTAGTTTTAGACTTGGGAATAAGATCCTTTATACGTGATGCTTCCAACTGACAAGTTTTATTTTGACAAGGCTTTTTATCAACCATTTCCTTGAAATCAATCCAAATTACCTTCCTTTCACCATCAAGTTGATTGACAAAAGTCTATATTCAGACTTGCTATGGGTAAAAAGTTGAAGGAAGTGTCATTGTGTCCTTTCTTTACAGAAGGAACACATTAACAGTTTCTTTTATTTCTAATCTCACAATCCGTAACAGTTTCTATTTTCCTGCTCTATATCCATCTAGTGTAAAGTCTGTACTTTACTGCTCTAACATTTCTGCTTGATTCCTTATGGTTAGAATGGGTAAACCCATCTGTGTTCAACTTTATCATATAAATTGATTTAAGTTAATAAACATGTAACTTATTGGGAGACCTAGATAAAACCAGAAAGTCACTAAATGACAACTTGCAGCTCATTAAAATAATAGACTTAGTCCTATATGCTTCTCAAAAGACTGTTCCTTATTTCCTAGAGTTTTAATCTACACTGATTTAAAATGGTAAGAACAACCATTTGCAAATCTTTACAAAAATAAATGGGTGAGACCTATAACGACTCAAACTTGATTCCATGTATAGATATACAGTTTTAGAAAATTAGTATTTGACAGAGCAATGGTAGGCTGTAAACTGATGAATAGATCATATGACTAATATAGCTGACATGGAATGGAACTCGCATGAGAGAACATAAATCTGCTCCATTTAACAGATCTCTGTGTTTTTGAACAGTGCAACTTTTAATTTACTATGGCATTGTCAGAAATCAGGTTTAAATAACTTGAGTACTGAATTTGCAGCTATTTCTAATACTTCCAGTAATCTCTGACAAAAAGCATAGGTTAGGCATTGGGTAAAACATATATGTATAGCTGGCTATGAAATCAAGATTCTTCTACAGAGAAAAATTAAACCTTATTTAAAACGAATGGAAAGGTTCTAGATTCCAATAACTTCATTATCTGTTGATGTTTTGTAGGCTGAGCCAGTAAACAAGCCTTCTAGCTTCTTTATACATTGTTGGTTTGAAGTCTTTTCAATGAGAAGAATGTCCAAGGCATTTGAGTGAAGTTTCTATAAGAGGGCACTTAAAAAGCTGTGATGGTGTGGGCAGAGGAGGCAGGCAGTCACACTTCAAATCTTGTTCAATAAATGCTTACAAACATTCAGTGTAAGAGCTGAATGGTTAACAAGTGTTTCTGCATCTAGAAACATGCCTTTGATATTGAAAAGTGTTCCGGGATGGTTCCTTCCTCTACTACTAATATGTGAAAACGAGGCAGCCTTGGCTCTAGTGAGAGCTTTGTAATATTCTGAGACATGCCATTTGCATGCCTTGAAATCGCATGCAGTCTCACTGAGCTTTCTTTTGCTTCCAAACTACTTGCTTCACTCTTAGTACTCTGACTTCAGGCATAAGCCTGGAAGAAGAAGTCACAAGAGCTATGCTGATGCATGTATGTTAAAAATGTGATTTATGTTCCACAAAATTTTCACCTTTTATAAAGTAACAGGCAGTAACTTTGGGAAAGATGAAGAATGTTGTCTATTCTTGTTCTGCTCGCTCTTGGACTGCATCCCAATTTTGTTATGATTGGAAAAGAAATAAGTCTGTTTACGTCCTCTGTTCCAGGATTCCAGAAGCAACCCAGGCTTTTACCAGCTTTGCTTGGGCTCTATTCAACATAGTGCATTTTGCTGCTGCAGTATGAATCAGTAGTTAGTGTTTATTACTGACCATAACATGAATATAATAGTAAGATCAGGGAAGACAAAGTGTAATGAAAAGACCAGATCTTAAGGTGTGTGAGCGGACCATAATGTTTCATACAGTGCCATGCTGTTTGCAGACAAGGAGGATCGGTCTTATCCTTCTCTTAAGACAACACAGAGCAAATTTTAACCCTTCACATACCATGTATCTAAATAAACTTATTCTGCCAAAGAATTTTTAGCTATTTTAGAAACTGAAATGGCCATTTTACGAACTACTACTTTGTTGGATTTTTATGAGATATTTGTCTAGTTTTTGGTAGCTATGAGACTGGGAGGTAAATGATACACTGTACAAAAAAGTACATTTATATGTTTAAAATGCATTGATAAACATTTCTATGGAACATTTTATGGAATAGAAGCTTCCAGATACCTCATGAAATATTTTCTTACTCTTCTGTATTCTAGATCAAACTGCTTTCCTGTTGTAATGGCACCTGGTTTTGTCCTGAGACTTGTAAATCATAGTTGTTTCTCTCTCTTCTTCTCATTTTGTGTTGATTTTATTTTTTCTGCAACCAGAACAATATAAAACTTAGTAACCTGGATGAAAATGTTCCATCAGTTGTCATTATGATTTTCTGTTATTTTCTATGGTTTTGTTTTGGTTTGGGTTTTTTTTCCTCTTAAAGAGGAGAAACCAAGAAGGTATGCTCACTTTAAGTCCTGGCTTATCATAACATATGTTAAAGTCTGATACAAAAAGAAAGCATCTATTTCTCAAAGCATAGCCATCTCAAGATAGAACAGTACTTCATGGATACAATACTGATTTGTTGCACAAAATCCTACCTTGCTCCAAAAAATTAAACAAGAGAGACCTTTCTATTTCTGTTTTACTAGCTAGTAACAACTTGTTCCCCTGTCATTTTTTTGAGCACTGCTGTATGTCACGTGGATCTAAATTGAAATGTCATTACTCTGAAGGAAAGCAGACAGTGTTAATACCAAATATCTTAGTTAAAGTCAGAGAATTAAACTGGACAAATAAGCCTGTAAATAAATATAGCCTATTCATTTATGTTAAAAATATTTGCCTAGAACTGCTTTCAGCTTCAATTGTTCATGAAAAATTCTATTCAGACAATTATGGGGAAAGTATAAATAAATACTTAACTCCACTGTGTGACCATTGTAACCCAGTTAAAACAACATCAGTATTATTGAATGACAAGTTTGTTTGGCAGCCATTGTAATGTCATTCCCTCCTTTTTAGACACTTCAAGAAGCCATGCGCAACAGAGCGAGATTTTGCAAGATATACAAAACCCCTTCAGGATTTGGTTTCGAACAAGCAGATGTGTGATTTTTTTTTTCTTTTTCTGTCAAATGATACCAGAACATCCGTAGTTTATATGTCTATAGTCTCTGTTGATGAAATATTTGCTGATGATCCTGTTGGAGAAACAAATACTTGTCTGGATCAAAAATTGTGTTTTATGGAAACAGCTTAATATAAATTATGTTCCATGGTTTCTGCCCTCTTTAAGAGCCTGATCTCATCTTGCATATATAAGATTTGCAAAGGAATGTTTACAAAGAAATCGGGAAATAGTACAAAAAGGAAAGAGAGTTGTCAGAGCAAAAAGGAACAAGACTTAACTCAGATTGGACAAACAAAGAATCCAAAATTTTCGAATACTTTAAAAAGCACTGTTAAAAAGATCGCCAAATGTCCATCTGCTCGCAACTTATCAACTGAAGAAGAGGAAAGTAATAGAGAATTTTCACTTTCTCCAACATTCAGTTACAGAGTTGCTATTGCCAATGGACTGCAAAAGCATATTTTTGTAACAAACACCGATAATGAAGATGTAGTTCAAGATCTGTCTTCAAATGATAGTTCATATTCTGAGTCATTAAGTGAAGTAAAAAGTACTAGCAAGAAAAACGAATACTTATCACACACAATGCCTGTGAGACGCAACAGAAAAAGCTTAAGCAGCCTTGCACCATCTGATGGAAGTTCAGATGGAGAACGCACTTTACACACACTGAAGCTGGGAGCTTTACGAAAACTAAGGAAATGGAAGAAGAGCCAAGAATGTGTATCATCAGACTCGGAACTAAGCACATGGAAGAAAACATGGGGCTTGAGAAGTAAATCTCTAGACAGAACTGGCCGTCACCAGAAGTCGAATACTCTTGAACCTGGCTTTAGTTCGACAGGTTGTATTAGTCAAACCCATGATGTTATGGAAATGATCTTTAAAGAGCTTCAGGGAATAAGTCAAATTGAAACAGAACTCTCTGAATTAAGAGGGCATGTTAATGCTCTGAAACAATCAATTGATGAAATTTCTAGTAGTGTAGAAGTTGTACAAAATGAAATTGAACAATTGCGAACTGGGTTTGTACAGTCCAGAAGAGAAACTCGGGACATACATGACTACATTAAGCAGATAGGCCATCCAGGAAACAAAGCAAGTCTTAGGTTTCTAAATGTGCCTGAAGAGAGGCTTGAAAAAACTGAAAGCATAGTTTACAAAATATTAATAGAGAAAATGGGGTTCTCAGAGGCACAAAGCACTATTAAAATTGAGTTTGCCCAAAGACTGGGGCAACAAAGAGACTGTCCAAATGCAAAGCCAAGACCCATTCTTGTTTACTTTGAGTCATCACAACAGAGAGATTTGATTTTAAAAAAGTCTTATAAACTTAAGGGAACTGGCATTGGAATTTCTACAGATATATTTTCCCATGACATAAAAGACAAAAAAGAAAGAGGACTACCTTCCTCTCAGACGTATGAGAGTATGGATATGAAGCTTTTAACTGTGGAGACAAAAATTAAAATGCATGACTGGGAGTCACCGGACAGCGATAAAGACTTGGAATCAGATATAAATAAGAACAGTTATGCAAAGATATCTAAACCAGCACTTCCAATAAAAAGAAGCACTACGAAGGGGAGTATTGAGTCCTTAAATACTAAAGACCTAAATAGAACTGCTGACAATAACACCTTTTCAAACAGATGTTATGGCCATCAGTCACCAGAATTTGACAACATGGAAAAACAATCAAAGACCTATTATTCAGACATGACTCCTCTATGGCATTTACAGAATGACTTTGCAACACCAAAACTTAGCCGTTCAGAGTCAGATTTCTCAAAATTGTGTCAGTCTTACTCTGAGGATTTTTCAGAAAATCAGTATTTTAGCAGAACAAATGGCAGTTCGCTATTGTCTTCCTCTGATCGAGAACTTTGGCGGCGAAGGCAAGATGATTCTACAAACTGGTATGGCAGTTCCCAGGAACAGACTTTTGTCCAAGATATGCAACAGTGTCCAGCCCAAAATGAAGTAGAGAACACGGAAACTGTTGATAGTGGAGTAAGCAATGGAATAATATGTGCATCTGGAGACAGAAATGACTATAGTGATTCTCAGCTTTCTTTACATGATGATCTTTCCCCATGGAAAGATTGGAATCAGTTGGAACAAGGGGAAGATTTGGGCCTAGACTCATCCACACAGGAAGTTTTTGTGTATGATGTGAGCAGCCCTTCAGATCAACAGATAGATTTTGGAAAGTGCCAAAGTTCTGATCTCCAGTATGATACTGAAAGCTATGATTTTACCCTTGATGGAACTTCTCCATCGTGTCCAGGACTTGATAGTGAATCACAAAGTCAGCGGACGGGTCAATACGATGATTATCAGGAAACAAATTCTATCTCCTCTTATCAGAATCAAAACAGGTTGCCTATGATGTACCGAAGTCAGAGTGAACTACCGAGCGATGACTCAGAAGAAACAGCCCCTAAATCGTGGCATAGCCGGTTAAGCATAGATCTTTCTGATAAGACTTTCAGCTTTCCTAAATTTGGATCTACACTTCAACGCGCTAAGTCAGCGTTAGAAGTAGTCTGGAATAAAAGTACACAAAGTTTAAGTGGGTATGAAGACAGTGGATCATCTTTCATGGGAAGGTTTAGAACTTTATCTCAGTCTACTGCAAATGAATCAAGTACAACACTCGATTCTGATGTTTATGCTGAGCCTTATTGCTACAAAGCAGAGTATGAGGAAGACTTAATTGAACCTCCTGGTGAGAATGAAACGGACTATGTAGAAGTAATGGAACAAGTCCTTGCTAAACTAGAAAATAGAACTAATAGTAGTGAAACTAGTGAGCAGGTCCAAGAATATGAACTGGGGCAGCCTTCGTATGAAACTCTATATGCAATACTACCAGAGGAGCAATATGACACACAGTTTGACAGTGTGGTCAGTGAAGAGATATTGGAAGTTGAAAGTGACATGGCTGCTGACATAGAAGTAAGGGAAGATGAAAATCAGAACGTCCCAGAGATGCTTACTGAAACTCCAAAGAAAAAAAGAATACGACCATCATTTAAAGAAGCTGCTTTAAAAGCATACAAGAAACAAATGAATGATTTGGAAGAGAAGATCTTTGCTGGAGGTAATGGTATTTTAATATTGTCTTTTAAGTAAAACATTTTTCTTACTAGAGTTGAACACTAATTTCTGTGTGGTACCTGATCCTGCTTCCATTGAATTTGGTGACAAAAATTCTGCTTATATCTGATTTTGTTCATAGGGTGGAATAGTCCCATGGAAGTCAAAAGGCTAAAATTTTACAAGTTTGCTTTGAAGGAATTTTCTGAGTATGTTTAGTCGAACATGCTTCTAAGCAATTGTATTGCTTTGAATTTCAGTAACTTGAAAATTAAATTTCACAGTATTTAAATCTTATAAAAATAACTAAACAGTACACTGTTCTTGGTTTTCTTATAGCTTTATAAATGTATTCACAGGAGTAATCTAGAGTGTTCAGATATTACAGTGCTTTCTTTAACAGTTTTCAGGGCATGGTTGATTCTATATTCATCCTGATGAGCAGTGTTCTGCATCCTGTATGCAGCCTGTAACTTGTTATGTACCTGTGAGAGTGCAAGTCTAAATTGATTTTAATTCTGTCCTTAGTTGTCCTCCCAGTAAGCCCTCAAACAAGTAGTTAGTCTCCAAAAAAGAGAAGAGAAGGGTGTGGAGGAAAGAGAAAAGAAGTGTAAATAGTAGCATCTATGTATGAAGAGGTGATAGAAAGGAATTCAACTCACAGAGAGTGTTGATGCAGATTGATTCATGATCTTTATCTTCATTAACAGACTTCACAGCAGACAGTCATATACATAACTTTAATACCTCTAGTAATACATAAATATGGTGATTTTCAATATTAACATACACTGTAATGCTAATGTTATAATATTGCACATGCATTTTATTGGGAACACGTAATTACCATAGCTAGCCAGATGGTAATTGTCACCTTGACTGAATCTTTGCTTTCTTTATCTGACCTGGAAAAATAATCATCTGATACATTCATGTTAAAGATGAAGAATTTTGCCTTTAGCCAAAGATGGTATTTAGTAGTAAGGAGCATCCAAAGTTTGAGCTACTATAAAGTTTCTTTTGTACATGGACAACTACATTTACAGTGAACATATAGTCAAGTTGAAGTTATGTTACACAAGCAATTAAATATTGTTAATATGAACGTTTATTTTAAAATCTATTTTTACATTCAAGTAATGATACTAGATTGTAGATTTGCATTTTGCAGTTATTTTTCTACAGTACTATGTTAGACACTAGATGGTGTGTGTATGAAGAAACAGCTAGCAGTTGCTAGTATTTTCATGAGTTTTTAATGATTTTATAGGCACAGGACAGGGAGATCACAGTCATTTTACCTAGTCATTGTCGTACAATAGGAATATAAAGGTCTGAGGACCTAATTAAAGAAAGCACCCAGGGAAGACCCAAAATAGTGAAACCAAAATTGGTTCTGCTATTTAAAGTCTGTGCATTTGTCTACATTATTAGATAGCATAGGCTGTTTGAAAATGAGAACTATCTTTGATATTACATCTCATGCTATCAGTTCTGTGATTTAAATGTGTTTGTTCTTCTTTTAACCCAGACGGTGAAAGACCTCTTTCAGTCTCTTAGTCTATTGACATTTTTTTCTTCTGAATTACTGAAGCATTTCTTGTACTATTTACAGAGAAGCCAACTGACACTAAGGCTGGTTTATGAAAAATGTCTTATTGGGTGTAGTCTATGGAGCATAAAGTGTCTGCATGGTTATAAGATGTCATCCTAGGACCTCCATTTTTGTTTCCACTGAAATAAAGGAGAAAGGAATACAGCAAGAGATTAAAGGGAATTTACAGATGAACAGCTACAAAACATTACTTCTCAGATTATTCTGAAAACAGTATGCACTGACTCTTGAGTAGCTGCTCTGTTTACTCTTTACAGTTTTGTTTTCCGCACCAGCAGGGACGACTTGTTTCAATCAGGGATTCTGCCTCAGCTGTCACTAACTGGTTTGTTACAAATGTATCTTCAGGTCCTATAGCATACCTGGCAATACTTATTAATAAAACAATCTTTCATGTTTTATATCTAATGGATGAATATGACATTTTACCTTTTAATGTCTGCAGAACCACCTAACAGTTCTTCAGAATTTAAATCTTTCAAAATACATTTCCTAGCTGGAGTAGTCTACTAAAAAAATACATTACCTGCAAAACTTCTGCTGAGTGACATGCAGTATTATTGGAGACAAATCTTTCATGATTTTACTTTCAATGAGCTGGATGACTGATACTATAGACAGTCTGCTCACAGATAATGGAATTCACAGATGGAATCTCCATCCTTGGAGATATTCAGAAGCCTTCTGGACATGGTCCTGGGCAATCTGCTCTAGGTGACGTGTTCGATCAGGGTTGTTAGACAAGATGGTCTCCAGAGGTCCCTTCCAGCCTCAACTGTTCTGTGATAAGGAAATATGTTTTTTGAATACTTCGTATGCAGCCTTTGAAGAAGGATGTCTTCTCAGTGTCAGTTTGTCCTCTAAGATAAAACATGTTTAACTTCTGTTTATTACTTGAATCACGCAGCAATTTTGATTTGGTATAGGAAACCACATTTTGTAAACCAGTTCTTAAGAGAGTTCTACAAAACGCCCAAAACATGGAGTTTGTAGCCTCTTAGTTTCTGTAACCTGCCCCCTCTACTTTACATGTGGATTCATGCATGTCTACAGAATACTTAATTTATCATTTAAGTAAATAGTATTGGGGTATTATATCTTCCTTTTTAATATTTGCAGGAGCAGTAATAACTTTAAGGAAAAGTGACTAATGACTGATCTAGGATTTACATGACTTTTATGAATTTTTTTTTATTTATTTTTTTACTCTTACCCCATAACTGATTCACAGTCAACTTCTGATTTCTTATTTGAGAATGGAAAAGTACTAGTTGCAGATGAAGTTCCTTGAATTAATCTTCATTATATAACCAAAATTTAACTTATTTTTTGAGGATTTGTTTCATTTCTCCATGTAGGCAAGAGCAGGTAAACAGCAATCTGACCAAGCAAAGATATAGCCAGATAATACGATAGTGTTATTTCTCCAATTTAGTATGAAGAAAGGTTTAGAATGCTATTATTTTCATTCTAATAACACATGAGGTAAGGTCATTGAAACTTTGGTACATAAATAATTTATTAGTGCACAAGAGCCCCATTGGATAGTCCTATTATCTGTCTCTAGCTGGAGAGAAAAAATGTACTATGGACTGATGGCTTATGTATTATTTATTACAACATGGTTTTGGAGACATACTGAATGAAAGTAACAGGGTATATGGATGAAAGGAGACGTGAGCGGTACATGAGTAATCCTCAGATTTAAAGTCCTGTAAGGACATAGAGGCATTGTGATGACGCATGTATACTAATAGAACGATTGGTGGCTTTTTAGAAAAATATCAGAGAAATGCTAGCCAGTGGTTTGTTTCTTTGTACACTGTAATAAATAATAACTCTTATCCTTTTATTTATTGTTCCAGCCCTCACTTGTTATTTTCTATGATTCTTTTCCCTAGTGGCTTCTTTCATTCCATTCCTATCTTATCTTTTTCAGGTGCCTTAGAATAAGCATGATTCCCTGCTGAAACTATCACTCTGGATAAGCTTCCAGGGTTTCATGCACTCTTCTGAGTTGTTTTTAATGGTAACATAGATTCTTTCTGTGAATAATGGTTTACAAGCAATAGCTTCTTGATGTAGTTGGTGAAGATCTTACTGATCATTTGGCGATAGGTCAGATTTTAAGAAACCTTTGGTCTGAATTTTCTGCTAGAGAGTAACCTATAGATAGTTTATGGTGCTGAGATGGGTGAATTCATCTTACTCTATACATACACACAGTGGCAAGTCAGATTACAGGGGCCAGGAATGAGAGTTGCCCCTTTAGCAGTGGATGTAAGTGGGGTTTCTGTTGTTTTATAGGAAGGATTTATATTATGTTTAGTGGTCTCTGTTACAAACAGAACTTAGAGATCAGTATCAATAAGGCCTTATTTTGTGTATGTCTGAAGGAGGAAATATAATACTAACATTTGAAACCAAAGGAACCAGTAACGTATTGCTGCACTCCCCTTGTAGTGTGGTCATTTGTTTCCACATTAAGAAAAGCTGTTACCAACAGAAGTCTGTTACTAATGCATATTTCAAACTCTGTCTATTCAAACTATGCTCTTTTGAAACAAGTGTATATTTTCTTATTTTGACAGCATTTCTAGCCTTTTTATAATAACTATTTTCTGGAACTGCCTGAGTCAGGTGTATTTTCCCAAAGAGTATAGGCTTTAGAAGTTAATCCAACCTTGTCTTGTGGTACTCAGACTTTTGTTTCCTTTATGTCTTACCTCCAGGATGCTTGCTTTTAATATGCTTGTATAGGTGCAAAGTTACTAGTAACTAATAACTATAGTTAATAATATTGTACCAGTTTTGTTATGTGAATATAAATCTTGGATTTGAACTTGAAAACATTAGTGCTGTGGCCCAGATGAAAATCAATTGATCTGGTATTGTTTAGTAAACGAATCTGTCATTTTATAGCCATTCAGGTGGAAACAGGATAAATAAAACCATTACCTTGGTCACGGCAACTGCATAGTTGGTGGTGGTGACTGTAATGGGGAAATAAGAAGCCTGTTAGAAGACAAATTGCTTTTAAATATTAAAGAGTTCTCCTACACTTAATCTACATTAGCTCTGTTGGGAAGTAAGCTTTAGGAAAGGACCAGTGTTTGTAGAAAGAGAAATGAAAAATAGATGTATATCCCATCTTATGTCTTAATTGTTTGAGGTAACTATGTTGACTGATTAAAATATTTTGAATTGTTTGGGTTTGTGGGTGTTTTTTCTTAAAAGTAAAGTTCCTTCTCAGGCTGCTGGTGCAGATTGGGTAAGGGAAGGATGGACGCCTGGTCAGATGGCAGAATTCTAGTTCAGTGTGTAAAATTAATAATTTTACAATTAATAAAAATAGAACATGTATATTTGCATGTATCATGCTGCTAATT